ATGACTTACCGATTTATTCCTATTATTCAGGAATTAATTTTGAAGCATAAAATATAAAAAAAATGTAGCAATCTTTTTGTAGCGGGAATCAATGTTACATGGGGGAACAGCTTTAGTATTAGTCCTTTTGGCAATTTTTTGATTTGGCGACAAACTTCGGTCGCCAAGGTAGATCCTGCTTTGAAGATCGGAAAAAAATGTCGGATTGTCAGCAAAACACGATCTAGACTAAATAACAATCCTAAAAAATAAGCTCTTGATCAAAATAATTAGTCTTTCTCTAATTTTCAACATTTCTAGAACTGCTATGATAAATTCTTGAAACACTACTGTAAATAAATTTATAGCAATTATTATGTTATGAGTAATGAAATTTACAAAAGGTTAATATTTTAAATTACAAAATCAATATTAATGTATTAACTTAATATTTTAAGTAGTTAATATTTATATTTATTATATTAGTACTTAGGTAATATTTTAAATTTACAAAAGGTTAATTTTATGTTTATGAATAGCATTTTAAACTAGTATATGTTACTTTAGTTAGATTCTGTTATTAAAAGAAAATATATAAATATCAAATTAAATTATAATGGACAAGTTTTGTACCAGTGTTAGAAATATCTTTTATGATTAAATTTTGTAAATGGTAAAAATATTAAGAAGTGTGTATTTTTTAATCCCTCAATTTATTACAAGTAATTTATGATTATAATTTAAAAGCTAGAATTAAATTTTCATAATGAGTAAATTTTGTACCAATGGTAATAATACAACAATCATCATAAATGATGATTTCTTTGAAAAATTCGAACAGTCATTGGAATCCACTAGTGGTGGAGTGATAGCCATTGAACAGTGGTAGTTCAGGCTGGCTATATGGGAGTTTTTGTAGTTTTCCGTACATGTAATGTGAATCTGAGCCAGTTTCTCTTAAAAAGTACTTTATGAAGAATCCTTCTTCTGGTAGCCAGCACGTGTATTTATTTTCCATTCATAATTCTCTCTTATTTTCTTATTTCTTAATTCTAAATCTTACTTCTGAAGTGAAGAAGTGTTGCATCTATAGGTCAAAAAATATTTTCAATATGTTTGAAAAAAACCTGTTCAGTTTTGGAAAGCATTTAAATAAAATAAATAATTTGTATATGATGCAAACAAAAATGCATTACACTATTTCATGTAGTGAAAAATTAATCAAGGAACAAAGTATATTGTAGCATTCCTTTATTTTGTAACCAGAGTTTATTTTATGCTTGGGATCTTTACTGTCAATTTCCTCCATCCGTTTTCTCACCAGAATCTAAATGAAGTTTTTAGTTTGTAAAACAAATCATGTTTTGCCTTTCGGGCCATATTACTAGGTTGCTAGATAAGATTTGTAGTCTTCAGTCTTGCATTATAAATTGCTGATAGTTGAATTCCATGCCTGTTAAATTTTTTAACCAACTTTGCCATTAAATTGATTTGTGTAGCCTTTGGCTACAAATTTATTTGAATTAAAATTTTACATTTGAACTTAATTGTTGTCATAAGTTATCTTGCCACAAGTGGTTGACTGAGTCGTAAGCACAAAGTGTGCCTTCTGTTCTGTACATCTAAACTTTATAATAGAATACAAGTATATCTTAACTTAATAAGAATCTGTCTAAACTTTATAATAATAACATTTAAAGACATTAAAATCAGTATCTAAGTGCTTGCCATGTAGTCAAATTTTTATATATAAGTTGTACTTTGACTTTCATTATAAAGTTTTTATTACAAAAAATGAAGATTTCTGTTAGATAAAATGTTTAAGTAATGTAGAAAATTTGCATAAAATTTAAAATAAAAAGTCGACTGTTATGTCAAAATACTACAGTCAAAAGTCGTTAATTTGGACACCCATAATCTGGAATGATCTATAATCTGGACCTCAAAGCAAAAATCTTTCTGCGAATGCGCCGTGTTGACACATGCGCTTAGGCGTTAACGCGTGCGTGTAAGATCTTTACGACTGCGCATATGCGTGTGCGCAAGCGCAGAATACGTTTTCCCATGCGCATTTTATGTATAACAGACGGTATAAGCAAAAATTATCTAATTGTCTATTTCAGTTAATGTTGATGATTGCGTTGTTTCTTAATCTTCGAATTGGATCCGGCTTATTATTTTTTGCAGACTGTAAGAGCAATTTTATAAAAGTAAACTTGAACTTTCGATTATGTCAAATAGAATTTCCGATGCTGGAGCTCCCAAAGAATTTACAAAACGAAAGTATGTTTCAATGTCCATCAAACAAAAAGTGGAATTGCTGCAAAAAATGGATAAAGACATGAAGAAGGTGACAGAGAGGTTAGTGAAAACGAAAAAATTTCGATTGAAAAGTTAGTCGGTATTCTCGGCACAGCAATTACGGGATTTGAACAGCGGAACTTTGTAACTGAACAAGAAATTATGTCTGTTTATAGAATTAAAGAGAAAGTATTATCACATAAAACGAAGCAACTTAAACAACTTACATTGAAAGAAATGTTTAATAAAGTAAACAAATAAATATTAAGCTTTTTTTTTTTTTTTTTTGTAAATTTTTATACTGTTCTTTATTTCATAATTACGGTTTCATATTTTTAATTTTAGAATTTCTGCATGCCATCTACGAGATTTAAACTGATGATCTATAATCCCGGAAAAATCGATAACCGGAATCGCCGCAGTCCCGACCAGTCCGGATTAACGACTTTTGACTGTATTATAAAAGTATAATACTACTCAGTGAAGGTACTCATATACAGCTGTTAGGTTGTAAGATTTACAAAATTTGAGAAACTCTAAATTATAAGCATATATTCCATAATCTAAGCAACATTATATTTTTTATAGTCAAACAAATTATAAAAATGTTGTAAAAGCAATAATGAAACCTGATTTTGGTCCTGATTTGAACCTATAAACACATCCCTATAGTTCTAATATGAGGTAAATAAATATTTTTAGACCATGGTAATTTTGATCTCCTTAACAAAGGAAATACCAAGAGTTTACCTCATGCTACTGAAAATGTTTTTTTTTTTTTTTTTTTTTTTTTTTTTTCTTGGGGTGTGGAGTGTATAATAATATGCAGAGTTGACATATGAAAAAATGTCAAGACTCATGTGATGTAATATTAAAAGCACCAGTTTTAACTATCAAAATTTTGGCTTTTTAAAAAAATATTTTAAATGTTGTGTTTTCCTAACACAAAATTAAGAAAAACATGCAATTTATCCCTCCTGCCATCAAAGCTCTGATACCTACCAAATTCGTTAAATATGCGTGGACAGAAATGGCAGCATGTTTTCAGCTCAGTATTTAGGGTTACCAAGGTTATCAGAATTTTTCATTTATCGCTCTAAAATGTCGCCTAAAAGGACTAATACTAAAGCTATGCCTTTATCGGTTTTGAGGGTATGTGAAGTAAATGGTACAGAACTTAATGAAGATTTTGGGCAAAAGTAAAACCATATTTTGTGTGCAAAGTATAATTTTCTCTTTAAGGTTATATACAGTAGGTAAAAGAAGTATTGGCAATTGCCTATAATTGATCAGTCTAGCTAACAAAGGAAATGCTTGACAATTTTAGCTGGACCTAATGAACACAGGAGGCAATAAAGACACAAATGTAATGAAACTTTTGTGTTAATACGCCTTTTACATAAAATATGCAACAAAAACATAAATTTGCATGTCAAAAAAGTATTGGCAAGATCATATAGCGAAATGTGGGAACAAAATTTAATACTTTCTATTCATACCTGTTGCATTTATAACAGCTTGTAATCTATTTGTCATAGAGAAAACCAAAGTCCTCTTGGGAATTTTGTGCCAGTCTCACAGTATTATAGGCTTAAGTTCATCTTTACACGAAATTTTTATGTTTCCTGACTTTTAGGTCCAATTTGTGCCATAAAATTTCAATTGGATTTATGTCAGGCGATTGAGACAATGCCTTTAACTGACATGGAGCGTTATAGAGTAACTATTTCTATGTGAGGTTCACTGTATCCTTAGGGCCATTTTCCTGTTGAAACACAAATGATGTTTCTAAGCCAAGTTTTTGGGCACTGGTTTTCATGTTATGGCACAATATGTCAATGCTGTGATAGTACCATCAATAAAGCACAGGTTACCAGCTCCGCTTAGGGGGCTAGCATACAAACCCAAACTATGACACTCCCTCCAACATGTTTTACATTTAGTGTTAAATGTAGTTTCTAGAGTTCAGTGTTTGGCTTTCTCCATACATATTTTCGTTCATCACTCTCGAAAATGTTAAGCTTTGATTTGTCGGACAAAATAACTGTGTTCTAAAAATCGTCTGATAAATTAACATGAGATTTTGCAAAATCTAATCTTTTTCTCCTGTTTAATTCTGAAATGAAAGGTTTTATTCTAGCCGCCCTTCTATAATAACTTTCTCCATGTCCAACATTCCTTATAGTCTGTACACTAAGAGGTTTATGTGAAGTATTAGCAACATCTTTGGCTAGCTAGTGTGCACTTATTTTAGGGTTTTTCTTAACCTCTTTGATAATGTCACATTTTCTCTTGCAGAACATATTTGTGGCCATCCACTTCTGATCTTATTTTCCGTTGATCCTGTCTCTTTGAACTTTTTCACAGCATTTCTAACAGTAAATAAACTTATGTTCAGCTGTTTTCCTATAGCATGTTAAGTTAAACCCTCATTTTTTGGCTGAATAATCTTGTTTTTAACATTAACATTCAGCTCCTTACACTTTGAAGCCGTTTTATCACATTGCTAGCAAAATAAGATTTTAAAACTTTAAAAGTAGCACTTGACAGTAACAGGGTTTTTTTATCATTCTAAACATGTCACCTCAAAATAACAAAATTGCATAGCATCTAGAACTTTGCCAGTATTTTTTTTGACATGCAAATTTATGTTTTTGTTGTATATTTTGTGTAAAAGGCATGTTAAAGTGGAAGTTTCATTAGATTTATGTCTTCATTCCCTCCTGTATTCATTATGTCCGGCTAAAATTATGAAGCAGTTCCTTTGAGGTAATATGATAAATTTTAGGCAATTGCCAATATTTTTTTTACCCACTGTTAAAATATTTGGGAGCACTTCTGCAAAGAACCCAGTAAATGTAAACACCACCAACAATGACAATAATAGTTCAAAGCTGGTAACATAAATATTTTATTCTGAGAATTATAGTTGCCAATGGCAGAGCCGAACCAAGCAGCAACTGTCTTGGAGTAAAATTTACTCCTTCTTCAGCATTAGGTCTTCCCTTTCTCAAGACTTCTTGCAGTTGCATTTATTTTCTACTAAGGAACTGATGTTGTTAATACCTGTAATTGCAGTACACAGTAGGCAAAAACATGCTTCGCAGATCACCTGCAGTTATCTTTGAAGTAACTCTTATCACTAAAGTACGGAAGTGTGGGTAAGTGTTTCTGTACCATTTGCATTCCATAAGCATTTGAAGAACTTCATGACAGCTATTCATAAGTTTAACATAAAATTTAATGACACTTTTGCCATATTTTTCTTCAATTGTCTTCCTCATCATAATTGTTTTGTTATAACAGACAAAACAATTATTGCTAAATATTTCCATGTACTGATACAAAGAGCCATGTTTGTTCAACTACAGGTTCAGATATATAGTTTTCACAAAACCCAGTATAGGGTTGCATTTTTAATATCAGGAGGGGGGATGGAGACAGTTTAATAAAAAATTTTCAGTTTTCTTTAGTATATATACATCAACATTTTGTGCAATCACAATGCAACCTGACTAATGATAAAAGGGTATTGTAATGCATATGTGTGAATGAGGATGACTTAACTGGTCATGTCATTTGATAATGAGGAAAAATGTTTGATGCATGATTGTTGCATTTCCTATAAGTAAGCGAATAGCACAATGATTCTGCATAAGTTAGAGCATACATATGCAAAAACTATTCGTATGAATCAGAGGCAGCTGACAGATGTTTTATCCTGCACATATAAAAACATGTTGTTTTATCCTGCACATATAAAAACAAATGGATGGAGGAATGAGGGATGTTTTATCCTGCACATATAAAAACATGGTATAGATGATTGAAAGATGGCCAGCAGTCTTGAAAATGTAAGAAGTCTCCATTCTAAAATACCAGCAAAAAGCAAAAAAAAAACTAGAAACTGGCAACTGATTGGCAATTCAAGAACTAGAAAATTAGCTGGAGATTCCAAAAACTAAAGTGTGTAAAATATTCATGAAATGTCTTTGCATGAAACATTTCTCTGTTATGTAACTACTGTCTCTAGCAGAGAAAGAGCATCATGATGTAGTTGGTTAATGATTTTTTCAATAAGCCATGTTTCTTCAGAAACATTTTTATTAAAGTCACTCATCCAAATGTGGTTTTGCCACATCTTGAAGAAAGCATGAAACATTGGTATCAAGGTCAAGACTACATTAACTTTTTTTTAATTAGAAAGGTGTTGTCCATCATGAGGATGCTTCTACTAGAATGGAAACAGTTGTAGCCAAGGACAACTAACGATTGTCATTTTTATCTTATTTTTTACAAAATATCAAATTGTGTAGCTGACTCAATCTTCCTACAGCTCAGATTTGCTGCCTTGTAACATATGCTATGACTGAGATTTGGGCCAGTACGAGAGGCAGTTATATTCAGGATTTCACTGCTGGACTTCGCAGAATGTTTAGAACAGTGAAAACGGTTAAATGGAAATACATAGGATTCCAAGATGTTTAAATTGAAAGTGATTTAGGTTATGTATAATGTTTCTTGTATTGTACTTTTTTTTATTATATGTATAGATTTTTTTTTTTTTTTTTTTTTGTATTGAGGTTTCATTATATTATGTGACATGATACTTTTGAGATAAAGCTTATGTGTGTGTGTATACATATATTCGCTATTCATATAAAGCTAATATTAAATTAAATTTTAATTGTAAAAAATTATTACTTCTGCGAACTAATTTGCAGTATCATTTAAATTCAAAGAGCATATGTAAATTAAGTGCATTTATCTAAAACCATGAAAAAACATATTATTCCAAAAAATTAAATTTATTATTGAAAAAATAATTTAATATTGCATCAAGGAGAATTTGCCTCCAAACCTAACTATTTGATTACTCAATTCGTGTTTCATCATCCATATAGGCAAGGGTAAATGTAAAATTCAAAACCAATTGTTGTGAATTACTAAAAGAGAAATTTAAACAGTGGAATTTTGATAAAAAAAGCAAATAAAAGACTAGAGTAAAAATTAATTAAATGTCAATTAAGTGTAGGAAACTAAATGTTTTAGAAAACCAAAGTAATTTGGAAACTCTTGCCTATTGGAAACTTCCACCAAAACAAATTCTGTGTGTAAACCTAAAATAAAACTATATACTATAGTACAAAGTCTTTAATCCGGACCTCAAAGCTACAAACTTTATGCACATGCGTAAAGAGAAGAGATACTGTTTATAGAAGAGAGAATTAAAGAGAAAGTATTAGCACAAAAAAAAAAAAAAAAAAAAAAAAAAAGCAACTTAAACAACTAACATTGAAAGAAATGTTTAATAAAGTAAACAAATAAATATTAAGCTTTTTTTTTGTAAATTTTGATACCCCTTAGATCATAATTGCTCTTTATTACATAAATTATGGTTTCATATTTTTAATTGTGTAATTTCTGCATGCCATCTTACCAGATTTAAATTGATGATCTATAATCCGGAATCGCTGAAGTCCCGACGAGTCCGGATTACGGGCTTTGTATTGTACAACTATCAAAATATAATAATAATATAAAAGCAAGTAAATAGTAAGTTTCAATTTAACTTACCTAAATCTACATATCTGAATTTCTAAGTTGTACTAGCTTTTGCTAAACTAGTTGAAGTTGAGTAGTTTGTTACTGCTATCTGTATAAATAGAGGGTGCTAATGCAATGTTAATTTGAGTGTAAAGCTTACCTGTTAGAACTATTGTAAAAACTAGTGCTGTAAATTTAATTAATATTAAATGTAAAAGCTTGTTTTGTGTTTAAAAATGTTGCTAACTTTGAAGGATTAAAATGTTGCTAATTTTGAAGGATTAAAATGTGTAAAAAGTGTTAAAATTGTGAACTACTACTGTTTGTGAAATGTGTTAAATTGTGTTAAAATTAAAATGTGTTAAAATTGTGAACTACTACTGTTTGTGAAAATAGATCTTTCAAATTAAAAATAAAAACTTTGAAAAAAATTTTTAGTCAAGTTAAATTAAAAATAAAAATTTGAATATTTTAGCTGATTTTGAATTAGAAAATAATAGAGAATTATTGTAAGATTTTATTTGTACTAGACTGCATTGTTTAAACTGAAGTTACAAGTTCAATTAAAACTTTAACTAAATAACGGCCAAAGCTAAGGAAATTAGGAAAAAAGATAAAAATCTTCACTCAGTTCGGTCTATATATGTATGTGTATATTGCAGTATCTATCATGAAAAGTTGTATGTGTAATGGATCAATTATTTTTTAATTTTTTAAAAACATGTTTTCTTGTTTTCATTTAAGACAGTTTATAAAATATTAATTGTTTAGGTTTTTTGTTAAATAAATAGATGACTGTTTTTTGTTGTAGGTATCCTTGTTCATCTCTAATTTAAATGCGTATGAAAGCAAAAGATATTTTATAAAATGTGGAGTGTGCCTGACTTGCAGTGCCCTGCGCAGGATATTTGTGAATATTCATTCCAAGGAAGTAGGGGGAAAGGTTAGTATAATATGCTTCATTAACTGCTGACTGAAAATTGTGTGATATCCATAATTACCTGGAAATACCTGAAATTGCAAGCAGTATCATGCTTTATTTATGCTATAGTAATGTCGCATTTGCTTCTTTGTAAAAGAAATAGAAATTTTTTGTCTTTTAATATAAATTGGTTTAATTACAGTAGCTCTGCGAATTATTTACATTTATATAATATATTTATAATGTGTAACATTGTTCTAAATATACAGTTCAGCATATTAATGTCAGCTTTTTATATTCATATAAATATTCTTTGAATTTGTTGTTCTTTTCTGAGAATAATTTCTTGAAAATAATTTTGTAAAACTTAAAACGAAAACTAGCAGCAGAGCAAAAATTGTACGTTTTATTTGGAAGTACTTCTTTCTTTTCACCATCGACGAAACAGCTGGCCCACTGAGTTAGGTGCTTTTCAGCCTGTTGGATCCTGTCAATGGAATTTTAAAAATACATGAATAAATATAAATAAAGAGCTTAGTACTGTGTCCTCCGGGGATTGGCCACGAAACGAGGAACATTGAAGTGAGGACCAGAACATGGAAAAAAGGTGTATGATGGGGACTGCTGAGACTAAGCGGAACACATTTCACTATAATTGTACATGTTAGGCATACAGTTTTATTAAGGATGTGCTATAAAAATCAGGTACAGATGTAAAGATGACCAAATACATTACAAATTGTGGAATTTCTCCAGATTGTCAGCAATGCTTTTAGCAATGATAGTGCAGTCTCTAATTTGGAAGTACTGACAAAAGTTGAACTACATTTTTAGAACAAGAGCATCGCAAAGCGTAATCTAATGACTACGACAGTCAGTAACAGTAACATTGTTGCCAGAACTTATTATAATTAATAAATTATGCTAAATGCATTATTATTATTATTTGGTTTTTTTCTTTTAACATACTTTAATATTTCCCCTGTCAATTAAAAAAGGGCACAACAATAATAATAAGCTAGGAGAGAAAGTCACAAAAGTCCCATCTTATCACAAAGATTGTCAGCAATGCTTTTAGCAATGATAGTGCACTCTCTAATTTGGAAGTACTGACAAAAGTTGAACTACATTTTTAGAACAAGAGCATCGCAAAGCGTAGTCAGTAACAGTAACGTTGTTGCCAGAACTTATTATAATTAATAAATTATGCTAAATGCATTATTGTTATTATTTGGTTTTTTTCTTTTAACATACTTTGATATTTCCCCTGTCAATTAAAAAAAGGCACAACAATAATAATAAGCTAGGAGAGAAAGTCACAAAAGTCCCATCTTATCACAAAGAATCAACTGTCTCAGTTTGAAAAGAGGTTTAGTCATGTCAGCAACTTGTTCCTTTGTAGGTATCTGCTAGACAATGATTTGTTTTTCTAGAACTTTCTCTCGTATGAAAAGATGCTTGATATCAATGTGTTTTGTACATCAGTAAAATTCAGGATTTTGTGGCAATCTTTTGTGCAATGGTTTTGTCTACTTGAATTACTGGAACTTCATGTAACTTCATAACATCACTAAATAATCACTTTAACACATACTATAAAACATACTACTTTTCTAGAACATTCGTTAACTGCAATTATATCTGCTTCAGTTCTCAAAGGTGCAACAACTGACTGTCTTTGGCTTAATCCATGATATAGCGATATAGCTCTATATAATATTACTACTTCACTTGTAGATTTCCCTGTTTCTTGACATCCTCCTAAATCTGCATCACTAATAGCACTCCAATACTCCTGGTTTGTGTTTGTTTTTCTATGTAATATCTTTAGTAAAAGAACCTGTTATGTATCTACATACATGTTTCACTTTGAACCAATTGTCTTTAGATGGACTTTCAAAATGACGTGAAAGAATGCTGACACAATAAGCTAAATCTGGTCTTGTACCTAACATAAAATACATTAAAGCTCCTACACCTTCTCTATAGGGGAAAATTTCTGTGTTTGGCTTATCTTTCCTTTCAGTTAAACTTTCCATTCGGGATAGGAGTTGACACAGGTTTGAAATCTTCCATCCCAAATTTTTGAAGAATTTATTTTTTATTTTTATTTATTTATTATTTATTTATTTTTATTTATTTATTTATTTTTTTATTTTTTTTTTATTTTTATTTTTATTTTTTTTATTTTTTTATTTTTTTTTTTCCCCATAAGCTTGCTGGCCAAGTCTAATACTTCTATCTTCGAGATGCTTAATTTCAAGTCTAAGAAAGTATAGTACTGGTTGTAGTTTGGAATCTTCACTTCAGTTCTCTAGGAAATTTTTCAGATTCTTGTAGATCCATTGATGCTACCAAACCATCATCTACTTATAAACATACGATTAGCATCTTCCCGTTTTTGTTTCTGATATATATAAGCATGGATCTGCTTCACTTGTCTTGAAGCCAAGTTGTGACACAAAGTCTCCAAAATATTTATTCCAACACCGTGAAGCTTGTTTTAGTCCATATAAACTGCACTTCAGCTTCCAGATTTTGTCAGAACCATCACTGTATCCTTCTGGTTGTTGCATGTATATGGATTCTTCAAGTGTTTCATAAACTGAGAAAAATGCTCTTTGGCTGCAATATTAAGAATTGAACAAATAGTTCCTAACTTTGTTACTGGACTAAATGTTTGATTGTAATCAACTCCGCAATGCTGACTAAAGGCTTCATTCAATTGAAACAGCGATGATCACTCAAACAGCGATCATTGCATCCAGCATTAGCGATCACTTTTGTAAACTAAACATTTTTCATATTAATTTGAAACACTTCCCTACCAGTCGAACTCGTAGGGGTTGCCAGAGGTTGCTTGATACGCAATGCTGTTTATCACATGGTCGGAAGTTGTGTTGATTTCAAAATAACCAATGATAGAGCTACTAGATGTATAGGCTGACTCCTCATAACTAACCATACTTTAGGGTTGCAGTTCAGGTTTGGTGTGCCCTCTTTGGCTTTTCAGCGATATTATTTCAAAGTTTTATCCATGAAAAGTCTTCAAAGGGTATCATTTTATTTTAATTCCTTTATGAAAAAAGCTAATCCAAAAGACACATTCCATTAACATAAATCACATACATGTGAAAAATATAGGTCAAGTAAGTTTTACATGCATACTGAAAAAAAGTAATTCAAAAGACCTTTTAAAGCAAAAGAAAAGAAAAATGTACCTAGTTCTATTAAGAACTCAAAAAATGCAATGTAGTATATTCTAAAAGGAAAATTATATAATACATATTGATGTAAATTACATATATTTAATAAGTACATAAAACTCTATAATGAATAATATTCATGACTATATAATAAACGTCAACACATATTACATCATGGTACATAACACTGCTATGAAAGGGAGAATTTTTAATTAGAAACATACCTCTTATGTTTATTTGATAACATAGAAGAGTAAAACATAAAGATGACAAGAAAATATGAAAACAGGTTGTGCAACTTAAGAAACAATAAAAAGCCTTTTAAGTTATTGCAATATCATAAGACACTGATTAGGAAGTAAATATCATTTTTTCATTCTTTTACATCAGTAATAAGTTTTTCATTAAAAACTTTAGCAGTGAATGCCAAAACAGATTTATTATTGGTGCCTTTGATACAAGGTCACACAGAAAAAAACTTGACTTAGCAAATTTCTGAAAACATTAAAATCAAAAGTAGTAAATTACAGTAACATATATTATTAAATTATTTTAATTACACATTAGGAAAAAAATTGTCTGAATTAAATTAAGAAATAAGCAACTAAGCTTGTACAGCATTTTCAAACATATTTTATGTTGATACATTGGAAATAAATCGACAGAGAATGCAGTTAAATGAAAGAGCTGGAAATATAGTCTACATGATGTATAAAATACGATCAAAATTATTCGTTAAATACCTAAATTGATGCTTACCTTCTTTAAAATGAATATAAATACGATATATTTATGTTACTTTAAGGGAAATATTATATAATACATAATTTTAATCATATTATCCAACATTTACATTTTTTTTTACATTGGGGGCCAACTGACAGATTTGGCGACAATATAATAGGGTAAAAAAATACATACGATTTTAAACCATTAATCCCGCATTAAAATTTAAATAAAAAGTGCACTTCATAGTTATGATGACGCACAAAATTGAAATCAAATGTAAAATATAATTCTTAAACTTTATCCGTTCGCAATAATAACAACAAAAAAATCACATCAGCATCTACTTATCGCTGTCGGTATCTGTGTATTGACTATACATACACATTCTGATATTCATTTTGTACATATAAATCAATTTGTCATTAATTAGCAATACTTAACTGATTAATACACATTTTGCTGAAACATGAACACTTATTTTTTTTTAACAATTATGAAAACATGCAAAGCTGAACTTAATTCAAAAGCGCACGGTCTTTTGCTCGGAATCCATTCCAATGGACACGAATTAATTACCCATTTTCTTCATTTCTCGGAGAACAAAATATACTAAAGTTATTTCTGGAACGATATGAATAATATGATGCAGTGCATCCACACATATTTTTCGGAATTAGGTCATAATCCATCAACACAAATGTAAACAACACAACGCTAAATCAATATCCACTTGCAACAAGTGCCCTTAATTTGGATACAACACAGAGGATGAATCGGTTGCCATTGCTAGGATCCTTATACACCCTATACTTTGATATAAATTGCTGCTCACTCAGTAGATCTAAAGCATTTTCCTTAGCACACTTGAATTCTGTCCTCGTGAAAGCACAAACAACACAGCCGCCATGTTGATTCGATCGTTTTTCGCGGCGGAATGATCGCTACGAGAACGATCGATTGCAAGCTCAGAGTGATCGTTGTGTTTCAATTGAATACCAAAATAGCAAAATCAATCGCTACTATGACGTATCATGACTAACGATCACTAAATGTTTCAATTGAATGAGGCCTTAAATCCTTTAGTAA